CGGAAGGGCTTCAAGTCCTCTGGACTTCTTTCAGCCTTCTAGGGAATGCACGAGCGCAGCTAAAAAAGACCTTACTTTCTGACTTAAATGAAAGCTAACTGGCTTCGTCTATTATATGCTGTTCAAATACAAAAAAATGCTGATAGTCAGCAAGTTCTCCACCATATTACTTTTTATCACTCGCATCGTCGGCGATGCGCATACTTTAACCATATCAAAGTGGTCCCTCTCTTATGTAAGGAGAGATTACGTGTTTCTGGTCTTTTCAGCCGGACGATAGCTTCAAATTACAGTAAAGTTTGTTACCAAACACCCGTCATTTGAGAAAACAAAATGTTATTTTTTTAAAAGCTTTTCCTGGAAACTGGAACTTGCATTTTTTAGATATCGAAACTGGGAATGTTATTACATTTATGAGAAGTAAAGATAGGCTGTAATTTTACGCTAATGTAGTTGAGTTTGAAATGTAGCTCTGATGAGCAGCAACGGTTAAAGATTGAGAAAAAGGAGTAAGTTCCACTAAGTCCTGAGATACTTTTGCAGTTAATCTATTTTCATTTAAAAAAAATGTTTAGAGTTTTATGCACTTGAACTTCTTGAGTTACTTCTATGGGAGCACGTTTCATATGCGGAATTGTGTTGCAAATCTCACGAAATCTGTCATTAACTGATTTCTGGTTGATTCCTAGAAAGTAGATGGAATGTTCCATGTGGACAATTGCACCGACCCAAGAAATGATTTCTATAAAGAGATTTTTCTCTATTTCGACATCAAAATGTAGACTTCAACAACAGTTAACGGAACAACTTTAACATAGAACTTAAGAGTTTGCATTTTAACTTCATTTGTCAAATGATTTTCAGAAATTTGGTAACTTTTCATTGTGAATATATTGCAATCTGAAATGGGGGATTAACTTGGCATAAAAGTACTTCCAGATTGGCTTGCTGCAATTACGTGAAGATTAATTCAAGCTCTTCATCAAGGGATTAATGAGGCTGTATGAAACTAGGTGGAAATGGCTTTGCACAGTTCATCTCAAGTTAATTTGTTCGCTAATCTGACTACTTGCGAGTAGGAACGCTTGCATTTGCTGACAATCACAATAGTGAAAAAATTAAAGGAGTGGATTAAAAATGGAAAATTGCTTCTGCGTTAAGGTTATTTTTACAGTAGTTCTGCAATATTAGATTGACAAAGTGGACGCTTTGGCAGAAAGAAGAGGGCGAAGAGAGATGAGAGGGAAGAAGGCGAAAGAAGTTGTGGAAAGCCGATCGTTTTCAAATATGATGCTTTCTTGTTTGCGAGCTCATTGCTTAGTCTACTTTTATTCTTTTCTTCCAGAAAACGCCTACAAACTGCTATTTGGTCTCACTTGCCGTCAGCGATACGTTGTTCTTCATTGCAACAACTCCTACTGAGCTTTCATCATTGTTCACAGCAGACTATCCATTTGGATCAATATGTGAGTTTTACTAGTAATGTGTTTTAGAAATAACATATTTTACTATAATGTGCTCGAGAGCTTTGAAAATTTATTAGGTTCTAGAAGTGAAAAATGAAACTTCGGTTGAAAGTGAAAAATGTAGGCCCGTTCACCAAGTGCTCATAAATTTTATATAAATCAAACGTATCTCGAGAATAAAAAGAAGTGGGAATAAATTCAGTAATGCTTGATGGCTCATTTGTTACGCTTACCGTACAGGATTGGAATCGAATATAACATATTAGCACTGTTTGCATTTTTTTCATAATGGTAATAAGCTGTTATCAAAGTTCAATCATGACTAGATCGAGTAGCCACTAGGTTCTTCGAATACTTT